CCTTTTCGTTGCATGTATATAAAGAGGAGCTAACCAACTAGTTCCGCCTAGTTTGATTTGGCAAGAGACGGGGAAAAAAGCTTCAGAAAGGTTTCACTTTCAAGAAAAAAAATCCTGTGAATTTGTACTCTGTGTTTCATCTATATCTAGCTATTTTCTTGAATATAGCTTCAAAAGTTGGAGTTTATTCACGGGCCGCTCTGGGGATACAGAATAACCTATACACCACAAGGAGGAAAGACTAAAATGATTGAGGTGGGTGATGTTGGAAACTATACTCTGACGTCACTACTCAAGTATACAACTTATAACATCACTATAGCAGTCAGAAACACTAAGTACACTGGTCCACCAAGTAATGAGCAAAGAGTAAGAACAATGGAGGATGGTGAGATATTAAACTAAGCTGCAAAAACAGTACAAAAAACATCTGTATACACCGAATCCAATTACGCTGACAATTCTCAAGATAACTAATGTTTTGAACTCACTAACCTCGTGTTCACGTGGAAGCATATAAAAGCGTTTTCACAGGTAAGAGAGACTAGTCAGTCCAGAACAATAGTTATTCAAACTGGTCGCCATAGTTCGATTCGGTGTATGGCTGTGTTTGGGAATGAATAATTCACTATCATCCGAGCTTCATGGTTGGTTTGCACACTTAATGACATTATCATGGTTTTGGAAATTCCAACATTAACTCTAGGACTCCATGTCCAGCGCGCAGGACAAGATGTTTTTGGAGAAGGGGTTTGCTTTAAGTATAAAAGTAATGACATGTTTTAAAATGTTATTACTTTTATCTTTCGCTAAAGCTCCTTCTGCTCCAGTAAATGTCACTGGTACTTTGATGCCTGCGCAAGGCTCATTTCGACCACGCGTTGTTATCACGTGGGATAGACCACGTGACTTGAATAGCATCATCAGGAAGTACAGAATTGTATACTACTACAACAAGGATAAATAGAGAGATAGTTACTATAAACGGGACAAGTGATCTTAGATACGCCGTAAATATTACCGGAAACGGAACATTCTCATACAAGATTAGTGCAACCACAATCGAAGAAGGCCCTTACAAAAGTGGCGATAATATAACTATACCTTCACTTGGTAAGTGAATATTAAGTTTTTTACTGAAAAAAAAAATCAATGACTTTCCCTCTGAAAAAATGTCGAGTTATATTTGTTATATTTTTTTTCCAGTTAAATCAAGACGTAAGGCAGATGAAAATTCTACCTCTTCTTTCAACCGCTCGATGATAGTCGGATTCGTTGCAGGGTTTATTGTCTTAGTGCTGATTCTCATTGTTGTGATTACTTCATTTAAACGGTAAATACGTATACGCAATCCAATAACGATTTTAAACATAAATGTTCGATAAAATCTAAAGCACTTTTGTCCCATATATGTAGTCGAAATCGCAATYGTAAAAATAAACACGAAGATATAGTTATGGACTCAGTACCTGTACCACTGGCTGTCATTGACGATACGCCAGTCCCAGAGAATAATGATTATATTGATTTCCTGGAGGTGTCTGCAAAAAGTTCTTTTGACACAGGTAAGTGAATCTTTTTATAAATCATATAAAGCTAAGTTCAGCAGATTCATTCAATTTGTTGCGCCGTACCTCAGCCAACAGCTACACTAGTCTTTTTCGACACGTTTTTGACATTCTTTTGATAAGCGTTGATGTCTTCCTTTCTCAACTGAGTAATGGTCGGCACTGCGATGAAGCTCTGGAGATTGAGATTGCGATCTAGTCGTCATGGCAAGATCGATATCAGATAGACATTTAAACAATAAACAATTATTTTGGTAACGTATTGATTGTATTTACCAAAAAAAAAAACAACTTAGAAGATCATACATATGAAGAAACTGAAAGCTCCATTCCTGATTTGATCATGATGCCTGCCCAGAGTCCAATAGAATTTCTTCCGCCAGACAAAAGTAAGCTCACGGAAGAATTTAAGGTATGTCTTTGCCCACTTTATGTAAAAGTAACTCCTTCATGTCACCACTCATTTATTCATATATTATATTTATTTTGTAAACGTTTGAGTGTAATAGAGAACATGTTTTTCCGCGAAAATCGTTACCGTACGTTCGACTTTTTAGGAATACTTTGCAAATTTAGTTTGACTTCTTTTTTGTTTTGGCTGAATAACAACTACAGAGCATACCCGTGGAGCCGATGCATGAATGCAAGATGGCAAAGAGACCTACCAACAAGATAAAGAATCGATACAAAAATGTTGTTGCGTGTAAGTCATAAATGCCTATATCACTTCCCTTATAGCAGGTATCTCTCTGCTGATAAATCAGGTACATTCATGGTTAGGCAAATACTGATTTAAAATTACCGAGATCTTTTGCAGCTGCTTTTTCCTTCAACATATGAATGATTTTTTGCTAAGATGCCACAACGATATTCACATTACGTTAGAATGGAGGTTCTATAATATTAGGGATAATGACAAGTGTCAATACTTTTTTGATTTATGTGTTTATCATTTTTGAGTGGGTCGGTTTGTGATAAGGAAATTGTTTCCATGAAATATATGTTCTAACTTCAGATGACCACTCGCTTGTTACTTTGGAACCAGTTAATGATGATCAAGACTCGTGTTATATCAATGCATCCTTTATTCGCGTAAGTTTCCCACCGTATCATAATATGGCTATATAAAACTAACTGTTCTGATTGTCGCGTCCTGATTGGTTTGGAGCGAGTGCTTTATGAGAGTACATTGCACGCGCACGCATGCACACTTTCCGTTGCGTCATTCCTATCCAAAATGACTATTATTATAATTTGTATTTTATATTGAAAAAAATTACTTGCTTGCTGTGCTGTGTGCCGTTATAAAGCACTTGGGGAATGACAGAACACTCGAGAAATGTCCAAAAGCACTTCGCTACACGTTGTGCTTCTAGTAACACTTCTCTCGTGTTCTGCCAACGCGGGGGTTGTTATTATTGCACACAGCACGCGGGCARGTTTTCTATTTCTTCAATGGTATGAACAATTAGTGATTGATTAGTGATAATTAGGTGTTCTATTCTTTTTCCAATTCATGAAATTTGTGCCATTGACAACGCTTGCTTATGMTTCGTTGACTCTATACGTACAGGGATATGACGGAGCTCCTGCAGCGTATATTGCAACACAAGGTAAAGACAATTTAACTACTACCATTTTATTGGACGTGCAAAGGCATGCAATATACAAACATTGCACTTAGAAGGTTATCCTCGGATTCCATAGTCTGCCAAATAGTAGTTTCCATACCGGAAAGTGTCAGAAGCATTCCAAAACTTGAACGCTGCCTGTCAAAGACCTCTCCTTTCCCATACGTAAATTCGAAATGTTCGAGAAACTGTATTGTTTCATGTCAGAATAATAGAAAAACATTCCCTTTCCCTGTGCGTTCTCCCGACTCTCACTCCGGCAGTCGGAGCCGTTCTACCCGTTAAATATCCACAATAGAGGTCTAGAACCGTAGTTATTACAATCTTACAATATAACTTTAGGTCCATTGAACAATACATTGGATGACTTTTGGCGTATGATCTGGGATCGCAAAATATCTTCAATTGCCATGCTTACCAATCTTCTTGAGCTTGGAAAGGTWTGTATGTATAACACAATGTCCATTTCTAGAGCACATGGCAAGACAGCATGTGATTTTTTGAAATGTATCGTTTTTTGTTTCAGAGAAAGTGTCATCAATAYTGSCCTGATARWAATTCTGCTCGGTATTCAGACATCACTGTCACCAATCACAAGACAGAGGTTTTTGCAGACTTCACCATCCGTACTTTCAGTGTGTCGAAGGTAACCMAAATGAAGTTAGGTTAGTTTTATGTTAGTTCAAAAAAKGACCTCATTTCCTTCTTTTTTCAAGGACGGCGTGCCAAAACGAAAAGTTCTTCATTTCCATTTCACCGCGTGGCCAGACAAAGGAGTACCTCTACATRCAACGGCTGCACTTGCATTCAGGCRAAAGGTGCTTGCAATGTCTTCYGACGATAACAGACCAGTGGTTATCCATAGCAKGCTAATATCAATGTATAAATTGAGTATCCAAGAAAAGATTATAGATCATACATAAAGGAATTTTACACATTTCTGCTGCCTTTACAGTCCTATACCTAGCTATTATCTAGACCTCTTGGTTTTAGTTTCACATCAATCAATAAAGAAATAAACTGTTGCATAATCGGAAATAAAGCTAATGGGTCTTCAAGATGACTTTTTCACAGAAACATGACAAGTGTAGTCTCAAAGCTCGTTTGGCATAGCATAAGTGTTTGTCTGTACGTATTTGATTTGACAGCGCTGGTGTTGGAAGGACTGGTACCTACATAATGATTGACGCAATGCTTCGACAAGCCCAAACTGAACAGCAAACTCTGGATATTCCTGGTTATCTCCATGCAATACGAGACGACAGACCATACATGGTGCAAACCCTTGTAAGACATCTTACTATTTTTTTGGACACTAAAACATATTAATCGCGACCATATTTTATCTCGTTCAGCCTACACTCGGGCAGAGCCATAACCACAGTAAACATAGGACATAGAACATAGTCCTCAAAACGATTACAGCCGTGACAAGTAATTATATATAATTTCAATTTCATCATTAGGAAATAATAATTATTATTATTCTGTTATAGGAACTAAAGATTGTATAGATAAAATGAGAAAACATCAGATTGAAGTCCTAAATATGTATCTAATTTGAATACTGCTTTGATTCATTAGGAGCAGTACATCTTCGTGAACATGGCTGTTTATGAGGCTCTCACTTGTGGAAACACAGAAATACAGGCCCACGACCTCCGTAGCATCATGCATCGGTTGTCAACTGTGGATAAACGCCAGAAACGTACAGGTTATGCGCTGGAGTTTCAGGTATAAAATTTATCCTTTCAATCGCGCACTTGTTTACGGTCCTGACACAATCACCTAAATATATTTTTATTCCGTTTTAGTTTCCTTCCATTTAGTGTGTGTAGCGTGTTGATTTGATTTGTTAGTATATTCACCAGATTCTTCTTGGGGAAAAAATTATAAAATGTCATAAAAGACAATTGTATAACAAAAAGTTCATGTCATTGTAGCGTTTAGAAGCTGTTACTTCACAAAATAGTCAAGAGAA